TTCCCAGTATCCCAGGGTTTTTTTCCCCCCCACATTCCCCCCAGACCATGGGGATATTTGCTCAGCCCCATTTGTGGCACAGAAAGGAGAGGGTTTCACTGTCCTATGGGTGGGATATGCAGTTTTTTCAGGGTGAGATGTATGACCAGGCTCTCAAACCCCCCAATCTGCAGGAACACAGAGCAAAAGCCCCTTTAGGAATCCCCCACTGCAGACACCAAGCCCAATGTGCATCCCACAGCCAGAGCCAGAGGGGAGGAGGGAAGGGTTAACCCACCCACCTGGGCATGAGTGTAAAAATTAATCCCCCTTGGTGTTAACAAATGCATTCCCACTGGGAAGCTCTTGGAGAGCCCATTAATGTGCTGGTTAAACAGTGATTGACTGAAGGGCACTACAGCAGGAGCTGGGCATGGGCAGAGCCTGGAGCAGAGCCACACTCCCAGCAGGGAGAACAATCCAAGGGGAACACCCCACTCCCTGTGCTGCTGTGGGGACCCTAGGGGGGCTGGGGACAGGCTCCAGGACAGCCTCAGGGGCTCAGGCTTTGCACAGCTCCATGTCCAGGAGAGTTTCCCCACCTAAGAGGGCAGTTTGGGGCACCACCAGGCTGCAGAGGTGCCTGTGCCACACTGGCACCTCCTTTCCTGCCCCAGTCCTGCCTAGCTGTACCCTGGGGAGAGAAATGCTGTGGCTGAGACAGGCTGTGCAGGGAGAGGGTTTGTCTCTGTGTCTTTCTTAAGTGGGTCACGGCCACCCCAGGCTGGCAGCCAGACGCTGGGGGAAACTGCTGGAAGCTGTGCCCGTGGCAGACAGGGTGAGGGGGCTGAGCAGAGGGACAGGGGCTGCTCTCAGCTCTCTGATGGCTTATTTAACACCCCCAAACCTCCATGGATTCTCCCCAAGCACAGCCCCCAGCCCCACTCCATGGCAGGGAAGCTGTGCTCAGCTCCTGCCAGCTCAGAGCCCACGGAGATGTTGCCTCCAGGGAGAATCTTCCAGCCAGGTCCCTTTCCCAAGTCTTCTCCAGCCCACACTGTGCTGGGGTTTGGTGTGTCAATAACAGCCTGCAGCTCCCCAAGGAGAGAGCAGTGTTTGGCAGGGAGTTGGGAAATGGGAGAAGAAAAAGAAGAGGGAATAAACATCCCCCTCCTGCCTCTGTGTGTATGTGTGTGTGAGCACAGACACTGTCTTCCCTCTTCCAGCATTCCAGTAAGCCTTCCATGGCCA